TAAATTATTCTCTCAATAATACATCTTTGTCGTTCTGTTGTCAACGGACTTCTTTACTAAATTTCATTGCTTTAAAACGCATTAAAAGTAACTAGACAAAGCGGTAACTGTGGACGCCACTTTTCAACGTGATTCAGATTTGTCTATTTGCTTGAAGAAGGTCTTCTAAGAACTAGCTGAACCCCGCATCTTTTCTTAGACTTGACTAAAACGTTACTTTAACAGTCAAAAATTGCCTTCTATTACCAAACTGATTGTCTTAGTATTCTTTTTATCTTGATCTACTTCAATTGTTAAGCCTCAGTCATTTTTTTTTAACAACGTTCGATTTCAATTTCCAGAAGCTGTGCAGTGTAAATTTTTTTCTTTCACTTCTTCAACCGTCAAAAGAAAAGTGAAAGACTTCTTCAAAATTGTCAAAAAATGTAGAAAAAAAATTTGAAAATGGTTGAGAGAAAAAATTTTAGATTAGCGACTACAGTGTTGTGCAATTGTTTCATTTTCTAAAACGTTTAGGTAAGAAGCTTGTTCTGTCTTAAATAAGGCAGGGAATCTCACCAAAAAATCTGTTGCAGAAAGAAAACATTTTTCTAAATGTTAAGCTTCTCTCAATGGTGATAAATTGACTGTTACACGTTGAAATATGTACTTTGAGTTTGAGGTATGAAGCTTGAGGTTCCCTTTTTTTATTTAATACAGTTTCTGAATAATCTTTCAAAAAGAAAAGACATTGATTCAATATGCTGCTAGTTTTTTCACTATTGTAATACCAGGCATTTCTTAAACTGAATCTGGTGGCCTGTAGCAAGAAAAGACGGAATACTCTGTTAGCTTTTGGAACCTTACCAATTTGTATAGAAACGACAGGCTTTTTGTTACATCACTTAATAAATAAAATAATTTTGGAAGAAAACCGTTGAAGAAATTTGAAAACTGAGCAATGTGGACGAGCAAGAACGTACCGGCGATTTTCATAAATTGATGGTAATTTAAGAAGGGCTCAGAGCGAACAGATTGCCATATACTCTGAAACGACCGTTGCTTTTTCGTCTGTATCTACAGTTGAAAGACTAGTGCTCATGTTAAAAAAAATTTTTTCGTCTAAATGAAACATTTTATTCTGGCTTTTCTAAAATTAAAAATTTAGAAAAGCTGGAAAATTTTGAAAAAATTTATGGAATTGCCTCAACATCTGACCATCCAGTTGCCGTAAAATCGCGCTTTCTTTGTTTACAAAAATAAGGTTTTTGAATACTGCCAAAGTTTCTTTTTTGTTGCACTCACAAAGAGTAGCTAACTGGGATAAATCATTTTTGCGATTATTCTTACGTCATCAAGGCGACTGTCAACCTCGCATAAAACACCTCCAAAATTTGGACATCTGCGTGTTACTCGATTCAATTCATGCACTGCAAATGGTACAAATTCAAAAAAGTGATACTGATAAGTAACTTGTCAACGTTTTACTAGATTTTAGCAATTTACTAAACGATGATTATTCAAACGACATATAGCCGCTGACTTAATAAAAATACCTGAAAAATTCCAAAAACCTTATAATATTCGTCTATGTCACCTAATTCCCTGAAAGCTTTCTCGACTGCAACACTTGTTTGCGTTGTAAAAATTAATTTTGTCTTGAACGCACAAGTTCTTAACGCTTTCTGAATTAGCTTTTCGACGTATATATTTCCGACAGGAGTAGTGACTCTAATTTATCTGATTAGTAGGCAGTATTCATTTTTGTTTAAGCTAGCCGCTGCAGAGTGTTTTCTACTCGACGCATTTGGCAGACTTTTAGAGCAATATAGAGCCTGTTCCATTTCACCATATGCAACAAAGCTCACATTCTCTGCTTGGTACGTTATTTTGAGCAGGCAAATAAACGTCAAAGAGAAAAGCTTAAATTTTTTAGTTTGGAGAGAAATACCGAACAAGAATTTTGTAACATTTGTCATCCAATATTCTCAAAATCAAGTGCATTTAGATAAGGTATTCCCTAATTAATCCGTCCAAGAAATGACAGACCTAGTTTTACACATTCTACTGTCGACAATAAAGTTTTTCAGAAGAACGACATTTGATTTTGGCTTTCTTGAAAGCTTTTCATCTTAAAAAAGCAAGCAAACTAAACAAATGTTGCACATTTGAATTTTGATACCGCCTCCTTGTTCTCTGTTGTCACCTAAACTTCTAATAAAAAATGTTTTCTTGAAGAGCATTAAAAAAGATTAAGAAAACCGCAGTTGTAGTTGTCGTTTTTGAACTAAGTATTTAAAGTAGCCTTTTTGACAGAGAACTAAATACTGTAAAAAGCAGTGCACTGTTTCTTTTTTTTTTTTTTTTTTTTTTTTTTT